TTCAATCATCAACACATAAAACGGCACTTTCCGATGCATCGGCTGGACGAAGTAATTGATTCCATTGGAAGGCGATTAAAAACAATTTTTTTTCCCGATCGGTGAACGAGCAAAAAGGAACGGAGCCGACTCACACTAATGAATTTGGCCACGCGATAGGCTAGAAAAACATGCGCACTGACGTTTGAGGTTAGAATCGACAGGTAGCAGTAGTCGTACAGTACTCTTATGACTGCTAAACGCGCATGCGCGAATATGAGGAAAAAAATAAAGAGAGAGAGAGCGAAAAAAAAGGGGGGAAAAGGAAGAAATGTTGATCTGTTAGACTTGTTGAGAAACACGATTTGAAAGACACGCTGATTGCCCACGACCCTCAGGCCTTCCCACCACAAATTCACTAGTTTCTTTTTTTTATTTTTATTTATTATTTCCTTTGTGACTCTCAAGTCCCCGGAATTTTATTTGGGCAGACAAGAGGAAGATTATGACTCGACGCGAATTCAAGGTAAACAGTGATTCGTTGGGAATACGAGGGTTTTTGAATAGTCGTGGATAAACACAGAGGTGAGACGAAAATTCTCACTGAGGTGTAAACAGTCCGCTGCTAACATTCTTGATAATATCAATAATCAACAAATAACAGATTCCGGGGACAACGGCGCCCTTGGGAGAGTCCTCTGACCAAGGAGAATTGACTTGTCCATTTAATTTCATTTGAGTCACTGTGGGAGGCAGGTGGAGAGGGAATTATCCTGGGTTATCGACGATGGGTAAAGCCATTTGATTTTAATGAATTCGGTAATGTGAACTACTGGGAAATGAAGACCGGTTTCGGGGGAATTCCAGAGCATTTCCACGAGTATTAGGGGTGCGTGGACTCATATTCTTCGTGACGAGGAATTAATCTCTTCTGAGGATTCAGGAGCGCTGTAAAAGAGCTTTCAGTGGAAAAAAACGAGTTTAGAGAAGGAAATGGAAATTGGTTTTTTAAGGGCATCCAATGTTCCAAGAATCCAATATTCTCAATGCAAAAAAATTTTTTCTAAAGTTGAAGCTATTTCAATTATTTATCCACAAGAAGAAAATGTTTGAATGAATAATTTCTGGCAAAATGTAATTTGAATGACATCAAATATGCATGATTTCTTCCAAATGTTCCTCACGCGATTTCAATCCATTTTTTTATTTATAAATTAAATTAGCAATCATAAAAAATTGACGACCCGACACCGATATTTCTTTCATTCTTTTGTAGAGGAAAAAACAATCTTAGACAAATGAAACTCCGATGGAAAGGATTCTGCAAAAATTCATGTAATTCATGATTCATTGAGCCGGCGATGTGGCAACCCTGTTGGTGGATCGATAGTAGTAATGATCACGATAAAAAAAAACTCTACGTGACCCCAGGGAAAAAGGCGATTGCCACGATGACCCCTCGCAATACTTTGCCCCATGAATTCAGGTAGGCCAAGATCCAGACTGTGGAGGTATCAGACGAGCTAGTAAGAGAGAGAAAGAGAGAACGAGAGAAAAGGGAAGAGAGATTGAGAATAATGATAGGCGAGGTAAAAAAATGAAAATGAGGCATCTCATGTTTCGCTTCGTGCCCAGAAATCCACCTACACAAGTGTTGTGTGGCTATTGGTGTGCACGTACACAGAGGGCGTGAGCGAGGAACCGCGAATATTTCGCAACCGGTGGCCGTTACAAACTTGGTCTGTTTTTCCCCACCTCTTGAAATACGAAATCAGTGGAAGTGGAATACACACATGCCCATGGCCGTGACCACCATGGCACAATTCCTGATGCCACACGGTCATCGACTTTTTTATTATTTTTATGAGAATCGATAAAGAGCTTGAGAATTTTGAACTTCATTAAAAATGTATAAATCACCAGATTTAATTCCACCTATTCTTCGCCCCAGGTGGAACTATTTAGGGAATTATGCTTGATGTTTCAAGCTAACGACCTCTCGCGATTGAGAACCTAAAAATAATGTTATTACGTTTCAAATATTCTCGCACATGTTGATGTTAATGAAATCCCGTCTTTCTGAAATTGAAGAAAAGCCTTTGTTCTCCAGGAGGAAATCATAAATTCCAATTTAATCTCAAGATTTGCAAGATACTCATGACAACCTTAACATTCAGGCATTATGAAGAAACCGTTCATTCTAATGGGTAATAAAAGAGTTTACGCAAATGAGCGATTGTTCGAAAAATTTCAATTACGTGTCTAATCTATGTACGACAATACTTTAGTGAGTAGTTAGTTTTAAACTCTCAAGCCACAAGTACATTTCGGTGAGAGACGAGAATAGCAGGGGAGTCAGACGAGTACAATTAGGAAGATTGATGTTTCAGGGGTACTTTTCTTACACATTCCGCTGTGAATTCTCGGAGTGAGATTATGAATTTCAAGAACTACGCAATAAAAAAACTGTTCCGAGGAAGTGATTTCTAGTGCAATTCTCCATGTGGAAAAATTTGTTACGATTTAAAAAAATTATTTTGGATCGAAGATGAAAAAAAATCCTCTTCGCTGGTAGAGAAATAGTATATTTCGAAACTAGGGAGATAAAATAAAGGGGTCGTGTCTACGTGCAGAATTCCGGTCAGCACGTCGGTAAGAGTCCTTTATTTTACCTCCCGTGGTTAGAACCAGATTTTTCGCCTCGGCGTAGGAAATATGTACTTTGCGTCCACCGGAGCGATAATAGTAGGGGAGAGTAGGGCAAAATGGACCGGGAGGGCAAAACGGACCACTGACAGAAAATTGGTAATTTTTGTTTTTTTTTCTTTCCTTCAAATCAGGAACACTGAATGTGTTGAATTAAAAGTGAGTTTCAGGATCGTCGAAGTGGTGTCGTTGAACCGCAATTTGATCAGATTTGCTAATCACCTCAAACCACAAATGATTTTGATTTTTTGTTTTTGCTTCCATTCGGAAGAAGAAACTATAAAAAAAAATGAAAAAATTATCAATTTTCTGTCAGTGATCCGTTTTGTCCGCCTGGTCCATTTTGCCCTACCCTCCCCTACATTATGTCATTAAGCGATTATAGTATATTTCAGGGCGAGTGCCATGGGGTTTATTACTCCCGTGGAGTTGGCGTCAGAGCCGAAGGCGATAGGACTGGCCAACCATGCGAGTAAAAAAACCCCATGGCACTAGTCGTGAACGATATTTTTCCGTAGTGATTTTCACTTTTACGAATTTGGGGAAGGGCCAATGCCAATCCCCGGACGAGGAAAAGTGAAGGTCAGTACGGAAAAAGTATTATCTGACGAATGTGACTTTATATAGTGAGCCGAAGGCAAGGATCACAATCACATGAGTCAGATAATTTTTTTTATCGCCGTGTGACATACAATATTTTGTCATTGGGCTTGAAAACCGCGATCTAACCGAGCGAAGCGAGGATAGAATCGCAGTTTCACGGGTCTAGTGACATGAAACGTATCCATCCGAAAATAGTACGGAAAATGCTCTGTCTAGGATTAAATTTAAGGGGTTGAAATATCTCTCTTATTCACCCTGGTACCTCATTGTTTTCCGCCGCCATTGCATTGAGCAAATCATTGCCCATATCTCCAAATTCTTTTAACATAAAATGTTCAATTAAATGATAACTCCATAACTCCATAATAACTTATTTTGTGTATGTCATTTCTCGATAGCTATAACTTCTGAAGTTGTGAAATTGTCACCATTTATCACCATGCGCCTGACACTATTAATGGAAAAAAATAACTTCTTGAGTGAATATTGAAAAATGTTATTTTTCAAGGACATATATGACATCCGTAAAGTCGTAATCTTTAAGAACAGCAATTTTTTCAGATTAAGAAAAATTTTCAAGCAGTTGAGAACGGAGAATGAAATTTGAGCTCTCATTGTAGAAGAGGATTCTAAAAAAAAATGGCAAAAGTACTTGTATATCCTCAACAAGGATGAATAAATCAAGTTCATCTAAATACGTCTCGGTTTGATTTGTAAAGTTTATTGAGAGGGAAGAAGATTAGATGAGTCAGACGAACACAATTAGGAAAATAGATGTTCCACGGGTACTCTTTACTCACATTTCATCGTAAATTTACAGAGAGAAATCATAAATCCAAAGAATTACATGAAGGGAAAACTGTCACGAGAAAGCAACTTCTTATAAAATGTTACAAAAAAAATTGCTACGACTCAAACAAATAATTTTCAAGAATAATAATTCTTCAATTATTTTGTAAATCTTTCTAAAAGAACACAATTTATAATATTTTTTCAGATTGAAAAAAATTATGAAGAATCAAACGTGTCCTCTCAAAGTTTAAATAATAAACTCATCGCAAATTTCCCAAACACCTGAGGCCGAAGGGCCCTCAATGAGAACTCTCGAGTACAAATACAAATAGAAGAAATAGAAATAGAAGGGGGTTTCGAGACATAAAGGGCAAAAGCAATCGTATACCCTCAATAAGGATGAACAAATAAAAAATCCATCTGAATATGTCAGACAGATTTGCTTTGTAAATATCACCGAGAGATGAGAATAACAGGGGAGTCAGACGAGCACAATTAGGAAGATTGATGTTCCAGGGATGCTTTTCACACACATTCCATTGTGAATTCGCGGAGAGAAATCATAAATCCAAAAAACCACAGAGAAAAAACTGTCATGAGAACTGCTCTGGGTCTCCTCGAGGTTCACGCAAATCCGATTCAACATCACTCGGAAAAAAAAAATCCTTCACATCACCGTCACTTCACGTGTGTGACGCAATGGCGTATGTTCTCGCAGGAAATCCTAACGAGGCAACGGGAAACCCGCAGGGCAATTACGTCGCGGAAGTGAAATTGAAGACATGACGAAGTGCTTATTGAATTGAGCCTCGAATCTGATAATTTCACCCATTATCCCCGTGGACTCGCAGTCCTAAATCCCCGAAGGAGAGGTGCAATCCCTCGTCCGAGGTAAAAAGAAAGATGATGAATTGACTTACCGGTGCAGCTGTACGGGTGTGGATCTCGCTGGTAAATGCTGATTGTGCGAGGGCGGTGGCGGTTGACCCTGATGTGTTTGGGCCTGCACGCGAGCGGGGGTGGACGCACCGCCAACTAGGGAGTGTCCGTGCCCCCCGTGGGGGTGGGGGTGGTGATGATGGTGAAGATCTCCCCCCACCGGACCCCCCACCCCCAGTCCACTCACTACCTGGACTTGCTTGCCCACTGTCTCCATCACCCTTGGAGCATTATGTACTGTAAAATGAAAAAAAGAAAAGAACAATTGAGTAAAAATTGTCAAGTCATTCATGACGTCAGATAACTCGAAAGAAACATTTTTTAATTAATTCTTCAACCCCTCACGTACGGGGTCGATGGCATGCATCGACCCATGAAAATATGAATGACTCTCTTTAAAATTGATTATTTTCAAAACTATGGAATTTAACTCAACCAAACAAATAGCGAAAAAAGGAATACTGTTTCAATTACATATCGGTTTCATCATTTTCCGTTGATTAGAAGTCATTACATTCTAGTTGTATCGAGCGTACTCCGCGCTTGGAAACAAAAGGGCTCTGTCCGTGAGGGCTTAATTGAAGTAATTTTTTTGAGGATCATTTGTATTTTTTACTGTCTCGCGTTCTCTTCGTGTAAATTATTCTTTTTTTAAAGTCGTGCATTGAGAGAAAAAATTACTTTTGATAAAGAAGGTTTACTTTATGCAAGATAATATTCTCTCGTCGATTTAAAAAATCGTGACATCTTCTGATGAGTAATTTTGTTCTCAGACTGAGAGGAACAAGTCTTCCAACAGGATGAGATTCTCTGGTGCGAGAGAATTTTTAAGAATTCTCAAGACTGAAAATTATGTCCTTCTCATAAATTCATGTAGGTTGCGTTATATCTTAATTTTTTTCATCAAAACTTTGATTACATAAAATTTTGCCAAAGAACACAACACTTGAGATCAATTTTCTATTCACTTGAATTGATAATGAAACTGTCCGTCATACAATCGAAACAAGAATTCCTCAGTTGGAGGTCTGAATTTTTGCCTGAATTTTCCGTGTCAAGTCCCGAAAATTTAGTGACAATGCCCTTGAAATTTCTGGAAATTACGTCATCGAAAAATCACGTATTTCATTAATCTTCCCCTAATTTTAAGAAATTGATGAAAAGTGTAATTTTCAGTCGGATTATGCAGTAAAGGTTAGGAAAAATGAGGATTGTTCAGATCAAAATATTTTTGAATTTTCAATTCATCGAAAATATTGTGGAATTTTCAATTCATTGAAAATTCAGGTCAATTAGAAAACAAATATTCACGTTCAATTAAAAATTGAAGCCAGTAGTAAAATTTCCGTCTTATGTCTGCTTGAATTCATCAAATCCCTTGATCTTTTCTAAGTCATTTACTCTGTTAAAAAATTTCATTTGAATTTTCCGTGCCAAATCCCGGAAATTTTTATCGAACTCAATTTCCACTGAACTTTCAGGAAATCTTGTCATTGAAAAATCAAATATTCCATTGATTTTCTGTTCGAATGATCTGAAAATCAATAAAATACTTGATTTTTCAGCTCAATTATTCTGTGAAAATTCATAAAAATCAGGAAAATTCAGGGAAAAATGGCAAATTCATATCATTTTGTTTTTGAAAATTCATATTCCATTGAAAATTCAATCAAGTTGTGAAATTTCCATCTCACTTCCACTGAAAACTCATGAATTTCCTTGAATTCTACCTAAAACGTGAACTTTCATAACCATTTTTCTCCTAAATCCGATTCAATGTCACTCTCATGAGAATTACTATCGTATCCTCCATGAAATTTCAAAAAATTGCTAACAGTGTACCACCAGATATGTCCCGCTTCTGAAATTACAACCAGTCTGTTACCCACAAAAAGAAATTCCGATTTCCTTCAAGAATGTAATAATTCAATTCAACCTCCAGTCCCTTCACATGCAAACAAAAAAGATTCACCATCGTAACGAAACAATTTCCATCACCCCGAACATTTTTCACATTTTCCAAACGAAGATTGAATTAATAACCCCCATAATGAGTCTCGATATAAACGAAACTATTCAAACCTCGATTCCGAGGCACGTTTTTCATATTACAACTGCTAATAAACAGCATCTAGACCAGATTGTTCCGACGTTTTTTCTTCCTTTTTTAAGTGGCTGAGCATCACGTGAAACACTCTTACAGTAGCGTGCAGTCACTACCTCTTAGATCTAAAGGATGATTGACCAATGTAGGTTAATGATACGAGCGTTAGATGTTGCACACTGGGGATCCATCGAGGGTGACTGTTATTATTATTTTATACAAGTGTAACCAATGGCTAAGAGTCTATCCTGCACTGCTCTGAGCATTCTGACCCGCAAGATGAGATTTACAGGTGAAAATGAACACGTAGCCTCGCCTCTCCTCTAAGAATTCGCATCACATTCTCCGATGAGAATGAATCAGAATAAATAGATGAAAATGTGTGGAATAACATTGTTGTATGAAAAATGAGTAATAGTAACAGGAAAATTCTTATCAGCTGAAGGACGTCGGAGATTATTGTGTCGTGACTTACATTGGTAAGTGATAAGCCATGTGATTATGAATGTGCATCGACTTTTAACAAATACAAATACGCCTCGTATGTTTATTTATACATCTTACATACTACTTGGGTATTTTTACGCATCGTTTTTCAATGAGTTGTGCGGCAATGATTGCAATATGTCTTTGAGTTGGTACTTGGGGCAACGAGAGTCCAATGCATGGTAATGAACATTTTGTAATAACGCAAATGGAAATACAATAAGAAATATTGAATACGTTTTTTTATGTCGTCGAAGAACGGATGAGAGAAGAGTTATGGGTGAATGGGATCATCTGGGTTATGAAATCATGATTAAAGACCTATATGAGGAATTCCATGTCAAATGAGTCAACACTGAGAGAACAAATTATTTTTGCCAAATATTCATTTACTTGAAAGAAGCATTTATTCTTTAAAATAATGATTATGAGATTTATGAGAGATTTTTATTTTAAAATTGAGTGATCATTTTCTTGTTCTCAGTACAATAACTTCTATACTGAGAGAAAAATATCGTAGTTTCTACGGAATACATCTTATTGGATGCATGTTCTTTCATATCAAAGTAGAATTTCATTGTTTTAATGTTGTAATTCTTCGTTTCAAGAGTGGATTCCTCACACGGAGAGAAAAATTCAATAAAAATTACCAGAAAAAAACGTAAAAATTACGTTTCCAAACGTAATCCTCGAGCGAAGTAAAATTCAATAAAAAGTGTGAGTCGCAAGTGAAATTCAGTAGCAAAGTGGTAAACGGAGATAAGTCAATTTTGACTATTGACCAGTTTTCAATCAATATCTCGGAATCCAAGGGAGATAGCACAATTTTTGTTATAACCTTTTTTGTGAAGCCGATTGAGTGCTACAACAAATGTAATTACGAAAATTTCGCTATCTCCCTTGGATTTGGAATTATTCCTCAAAAACTCAACTGGGAGATCAGTCGACTTATCTTCGTTTACCACTTCACTACTGAATTGTACGAATCGCCACGTAAATTCTACGATTTGTTCCGTAAAAATTAACCACCCATCTGATGACTCACTGCTGTGGGGACAACGAGTCTTTCCGTAATTTTTCCCCAACGATTGAGAAATTTTACGGAACGGAACGTAGAAATAACTCACCAGCTTCATAAAAATTGTTGAACGTTCAAGAATTTTTGATTTTGGAGGCATAATAAGTCGGGAAATTTCTGGAAGATTTTGCTTCTTCGGGAAAAATTACGTGACAATTTCGTACTTTGTTCGGTGATGAACCTGAATGAATTCACGAAACCTTTCAGATTTCTTCTCTTCCATTCCTAATAAAATTGCCGCCGGAAAACGATTTCCCATTGCGGCTTACGTGAATTATTCCGTAATTTTTACGGAATATTTCTCTCCGTGTAGAGAGCGTAGATAACGGAATATTTCTTCGAAAATGAGGCATTATTTCATTCAAAATATGTTATTGAAGACGATTCCGTTGATGTCGTCTATAATAAGGTTTCAAGTCGACGGAACGCGATTCATTCAAATAACTATTAAAATTCGATGAAATATTTCGGGGAATACGAAGGAATATATGCTTGATTGGAGCCCTCGGAGTCCATAAGTCTCATGTTTGGAGCCTTCAGAATTACCTATTGAAGGATACAGTTTAAGCACGCAATCGGCTGAAAGCGACGACATATTCCGTATCGCCAATGGATTCTTTCATTAGCACTATTGAAAAGCACTGAGCGATTGAGTCAAAAGAAAATCCGTCCGTTTTACTCTCAGTCAGTGTAGAGTCATGAATTTGTTGACATCAATAACTTAGTTCTAAAAATTAGGAACTTTTATTCTATATGTATCTCCTCATTGAATAAGGCGATTTAAATGAACCAAGTTCCATTCCCAAGTGTAAAGAATACCTTCGGAAAGAAAAAAAATATCGAGAAATTTCACTCTGCCGTTCTCAAGTTATTACTGATAGAAGGCCGTCTACTTGAGCAATTGTACGCATCATTTTTCAATGAGAGCTGCGCTACGATGATTGCAATATGTTCCCGAGCTGGCACTCGGAGAGACGACAGCCAAATGCCTAGCAACATACACTGCAGGGAGTGGAAATACATCGTTACACAAAATGGAATTTCGATATATGAATTTGTTTGCCCTGGGGATAAAAATGGGAATCGGAAATACTCCGCGTGTATGCAATGATCCACGTGCATGGCCGCTACTAACTATTTTTATTAATTTTTGTGTGCATACAGTAGGCTATACTTTTAGACTTTAATTCCACAGTCGGCAAATATCAGAGGAATATTTTCGTCAACGGAATTATTCCTGCGATTGAAATATTTTTTAAATGATTTTATGACAGACATTTGATCGTTTGATTTCCTAGCATTGATATTTTCAGGTAAACACGCTGTTCGGTGAGTGGAGTTGGATATTTATTTAATTTCTAATGACTCGGGTTTGCTTGAATCGATGGATGTGATAGACATTTTTATATTTTATGAAATTCAATGCTATGTTCAACTTAGTGGAAAATAACGGTTAAGTTGTGTATGGGAATGTCCTTCTAATTCGTCTCCATCGTTTCCTGTCTCGTTCAGTGTCGTCAATCTTGATATTCTCGTTTGACCGGTTGACAGCAAACATCGAATATTCTT